ATGACAAATCTACAAATTTAGGATTAGGTCTATTATTAGAGCAGCACTAATATCATAGTAGACCATAGTTCTACATTGGTGAGCCCAACTAAAGAAACGCAACCTATTATTGTTAATCCTTATTTCTACCTTAACCTTCTCAATCGGTTTTTATTTTTGTAAATGCAGTATTCTAATAGTCCTTTGATTAATGGTCACATATATTATCGTAATGTTATATCTATCAGTTTACATAACTTACTAGCTCAATCGATGATAAAAGTTGATCATCTATATTAACTAATTAGCTTTGATGGTTCGTTAACAAGCTTTAATAGCATTTACCTGCTTCAGCGACATAGACTTGTTTAAACATCAAGCTCTAGCAAATATGACCTGTTAATAGCGTAAATATACATTGACTAACAATGCAATCAAGGATTGAATAGTTATCTGGATCTAATTCTTAGTGTTCCTTCGCTTAACACCTCGTCCTGTTTTAAACTATGCACTATCCTGTAATATCTTTCCTTCCGACCACTGCCTGCCTAATTTCATATTCTCGAGTTCCATTGCCAAACAACAAGGGTGACACTTCTCCAAAAAAATACGGTGAGTTCCAGCTATAAGTTTTCTGCAATCATAAGGTCATTTTAGATGGCTCATTCAATGGCACCACACAATTATCTGGATTCATTCAGTTGTTCTGATCAGAGTGAGTCCCAAAAACCTCGACAGCATCAAGCACCCTGGAAGTGATTGCCATACTGCATGTTTTATTCTGGATGCTTTTGGATCATTACTACTCACGAATGGCGTTATATATGTCGTCCACTGAGTAATCTAATTTTCAAAAATAACCCAGGCGAGTTCAACTATTTTACTTAATGACTTTTTGTACTTAACATGTATATATTTTCCAGTTACTTCTGCCACATATTTGTAATTGTCCCTAGGCTAAATGCACTAACTTTTGGAAAATTTATAATTCTTCATATTCCTGCCTGAAGTTTCACAAGCAGTCTAAACTTTAAAATTATTTTCTGGTCATGTTCATTATTTTTAAATCGTCATATACGTCAACAACCTGCATGTTAACCTGGCCCATACATACGTTACACTATATCTCCATGTCTTCTAAATTTAGAAATCATCTGGATCGCCTTTAACATTTATCAATAAACCCATCATAGTCGTTGTTGCTAATCGTATTTGGGTTTATGGATTAGTTTATCATATTAGCAGCCTAAAATGCGAACATAGTTTAAATAATAAGATTAAAAATTTAGGTACTATCAACTGCACTAGTAAAATAACTAAATCCCCAGGTAGCTGTTGGCTAAATAAACGTTTAAAATCAAAACTCCGTAGCCTACTAGAATTAACACTAAACGAATATTTCTGAATTGACATTTATAATTAAATTAGGCGTCTCGGATTCTTTAACGTTATAAATTTCTGATGATTTCGAATCACCTAAAGCAACAATACCTATTTTTCCACTGACTAATCCTCAATCAACACTATAACTAGTTAAATTTAATAGTTTCAGGATATCGTCATAAAGCATTGTCATGACTTGACAATCACGTAATATGATTGATAAAATTAATGAAACTATTAACAAAATCGGTCAGCAAATTGACTTATAATTATCACTAGTGTTGTTTTTCTTTTATCTTCATTCACTACAGATGATTACAGTATGTTTCTCTATCAGTTGCTCATTCAGTAAATATCTCAAAACCTTGTCAGTCTAATTGATGGTTTAGCGACACAATCATGCATGCAAATAATCAGTATAAGCAGTCGAGCAAATCTCCTGCAAACTGAAAACATCAATGTCGAATTTACCCCAACACTGACTAAGGTTCAAGCCATTATCATAGACATGAGTTGGGAGTGTACTCCCCTTGGTTACAACTTATGTTCTCCCTGATAATCACATGAGCATCACTCACTATTAATCATCTTGTAAAAACTTATTTAGCCAAATACATCTTGCAGCACCACATCACCTAGTAATGTGACACATAAGCTGATTTCAATAACTTATAACCACTATATCTCAATTAAATCGTATTCCGCCTTATGATAAACTGCATACTTGCAACTAACTTGTATGCGTCATCAGCCGTCAGGTATAAATATGTATAAATAGACTATGGCAACTCAGAACATTGAGTCTAGAGCACGTCTCTTACGAATACACTCATGTTTAACGATTTGTTCTTAGCTATCTGTCCTAAACTCATAATTATCACTTACGTATTTAAATTTTGTTTTGATAACCATTCATGTGTATTAGTAGTATTACTAAATTCTATCACGGTCAAATAAAAATGAGGTTGAGAAAATCTCCCCGTAACTAAATAAACCGTATCAAACTAACTGGAACACTAGTTGGAATTCTTCTCCACGGTAATACTTTTGTTCTTTCAGTTAGCCTACTAATACAAATGCAATTGAAAATCAACTCATGGACAACTTATTAGCATGAACGTTATTTGATTTTATAATTTAAACCAAAACTAATACCAATATCAACATTTCTACAATATTAATTGCTTTTAATATTTCGAAACACAAAATACTTACTACCTATACGTCAAGTTACTAACCAACGGCTATTAACACGCATCACTTTATTATTATTATTGTAATCCCATTTTTTATAGCTCAAATAATCTTCACCCACATTTTCATTTTAAGCGTGTTAAGCATGAAGGCAGATTTTTTAAAAATTATTACATGTATTTCCCGACCAGATGCTGCTGCATTCTTTTTGATTTACCTTTCAGCTTATCATTACCCCGGGGGGTTCCTCCTAGTCTTGGTAACCTTCGGCGCACGACAATCCCATCCAATTCGGTATCGAACCAACATCACGTTGATTCTGGTGGGAGAGTAGTGTAGTGGCATTGGACAATAACCGCACAATCCACAAAGCTGAACGCGAGACTACTCAGAAAATAGATATTCAATATTTAACGCGGATAAATACCTAACGATGGAGAAGGCGCGAACAATGAATTGAATGGACTGGAGTTGATCGGATGGCATGGCTCGGCCATGCAGGCGTGGTCCATCTGAATGTTATCTTATATCTTCTATTCGTATTAAATATATTGTTCCTTCTCTAGCTTAACGTTGTTCTACATCATGTATTGGTAATTGATACGATACAGTGAGTTGGCGTAGTCGATGGTGTGACTTCCACGTAAGATCTTATAGATTAGGCAGTTATATCATGACAAATCTACAAATTTAGGATTAGGTCTATTATTAGAGCAGCACTAATATCATAGTAGACCATAGTTCTACATGTGTACTCTTCATACAAATTGATATATGACGATTATTCACAGCAATCAGTTGACATTTGCATAACATCATTCTGAATTATTATAGTACAAACTCTTATTTCCTCATCAAATCTTACTGAATAAACTGTTAAGTTTCTTATTTATTGATTTTTATTCATTTGGCAATATATACATCATCATGTATCCTCATTCTATTTTCACTAACACGCTTAACAAACTATATATATTTCACGTTTCTTCCCTCATCATTTCATTATTGTTCATTTTCTCGTCTTCAAAGTCAACTTGATGTTCTAAATTCTAAAGGACTTGTTTAAATATGGCAACTATTGTATCAGCATTACTGAAAATTGTGTGTTGCTGCATTTATGAGGAAACTTGCAGCGGTTTCTTCACAACGCTCATATACCAATGAGCCGTTTGTTAATAGTCGTGAGAATAATCTGCTCCATATTGTGAAAGATGATTCCTCCAGGTTTTTCTACCTATCCTCTGATAACTAGGGACGTTGTTGCACATCAGTTAGTACCGCTTGGTCGTCTGAATAATAAAGATCAGCAGGTGACGCCTTTTATCACAAATTCACCACTCTCTAATCCCCAAATGTTTCACTTGCACGATATAGAATTACTGCAACAATCTCACGTCATGACTGTAGCGTGAAATTTGTACTTATTGTACAGAGTCTAAAGAAATTACGATCATAACGTCTGAAGATTAAAGCAGAATACGAATCGACTTATAGGCGTGATCATGCGAATTCAAGCTTGTGGATAACAATGGCTAGATAGCACATATTAACGGACTAAAGTAGTCAAAACAGGGTCAACCAAAATGGATAAGTGATTTAATCAAACAAATAAATAGCACTGACAAGACAAGTACCTCGATTCTTGTCTTGCTATGGGACTATACTGAAGATTTTTGCGACGTGGTTAAGAAAAGTTCTAAAGACACCTCTTCAACTTCAAGTATCATTAGGAGTCTTATTTTTTCTCGCCTGTCGCAATATTTGTTTCCATCCCCATACAGTCACTATGTTCGCGACATGAATTTACTGACCAGAAATAGTTATATTCGATATCACGATCAACTTTTCACAACCTCCAAACAACTCCTCAAATCAGTCAGTTACGAAAATTATTATGACGAATATGTATCGAAATACAATGTTTAGCAATGAAAACGATATTATCTTTGTATAAGCACAGGTAGAAAATACAAAAAGTATTTCATATCCGAAAAGTTCCTCATCTTGGCTATACAGTGCGCACTCTGAAGCCTTGTGAAATATGAATTATAAAATTTCACGTAGATAAATGATTCAAAAACATGAGACGGGTCATATGTCAAATTTAGAAGTGTTTTTGTCCATGAGGCAGTAAAGGCAAGGTCAGCAATGACAGAGCGAATCAAACTAGCATATTAAAATATCTGTCGTGGCGTATGGCGAAAGTAGGAAGGTCCACCAAAGGCCACAATATAGTAAAGACTCCCATGTTCTTTTATCATAACTATACCATACCACATTACGAGCCAAGTCTAAGAATATAAGCTAGATTATTCTGTAAACAAGTTACGTAAACTAACAGACGTTGGGAAACAGATGACAACTAAAAATTAAATTCTCGAGTAGTGTTTCTCCATTGACTGTTCCTTTTTTACTTAGTTGTGTTTAAATTCATTAATATATGTGTTGGCATAAGGGATGTAACAGAGATAGTTCAATTTCTCGACCACCGCCATATATAGTCTTTCGATTTTTAATGTTTATAGAATCATTTTATGATTCTTGACCTCGCTTTGTGTGACCACATGTAAGACTCATTTCTCGGATGTAATTTACGGTCGTGTATATTCATTTGTTCCCTTTTATCAACAAACTATTCTTAATTAAATTCCTATGAAAAAGAATGACAAGAAACTGTAAGCTTTAAAACAACAAAGCTGTTTATTTAAAGAGCTGTTTTGAAACAGAAAAAAGAGAATAAACTGTTAGCTATGGAAACAAAGGAGATTGAAGAGAGACTGAAGCTTCTTAAATCGACTCTCTATTCAGAATTAACCAAGACAAATAAACTCAAGTAATGAGATGATATAGTTTACATGCAATGACCAGTTCTTCTGTACCTATTTGGAAAGGTAGTTGTCCAACTTCTTCAACTGAAAAACAGAAAAATCATGCACTAGTTGACGTATGAAATTTTTTCAACCCGTTGTGTATACTTGGTTTTAGATCAGTGTACTTAAATTCAAACCTTTGAAGCACAGTCCAACTTCTGAAAGTAACTTGATTTACTGATTTATGACTTAATAAGTCAAAAGCTCAGATACATATGGTAGTTTTATCCGAAGAATAAATGAAGGCATGAAACTTACTCCCGTAAATCCTGTCAATGCACATCAGTCTGTGTGTGGACAATGTGAAGACAAAAACGCTGTTGTTGTATGTGTTATTTTTCTGACCCGTTCTTTTGAAGTTGTGCCAGGAATGCAGTGAATACTACTGCACTCAATGTTTTGCAATGTTTCATTTGAAAGGAGCACTTAGACGTCACCATTCGTTGCCTGTTTCGGTATTACGGTCAATTATAATCATGGTTTAGACTTGTAGCTTGAGGTCTGAATTACGTCCTTGTAAAGAAACTGATGGTATTAACAAAACGCAAGGATTCAAAGAGTTAATCAGTAAAGTAAGTACTGCTTTAGTAAATTCCCATCTATACTTATGATTTTCTAATGGTTACTAATATTTCCATTTCTAATCTGACACATAATCGCTAAAAACGCTATTTTTAGTTTTAATATAGGATCATTAAAACCCGGTTATATTGAGGCTAAGCCTTGAGTACTACTAAATGAAATAAAGTTTGAATTTTCTTATTTTCTGTATTTAATAAGTTTTAAAAAGTTCGACAAATATTTAAATAACAGTCACTTAAGAATATTCAGGTCAAGACTCATAAGGCATTTAACAAAGTGTCTTAGAATTGCTAGTCTTTAATGTCACATCCCTCAAATCTGCGAAAGATCACTTACAACATAGGCAGATTCCAAGCTACTGTAATGTAAAGATGCTATCACTTGTTTGACATTTGTTTGAGTTTTGGTTTCGATGCGACAATTTTTGCACCACGCTAACCTCTTGATGATGTCACAGGTATTCAGTGTTTGACAACGCTTCTACCAGTAACACCTTCTAATATATTTCGTTCCCACCAAGAGAAATCAAAAGACAGAGTCGAGGAGATCGGAAGAGTATATTTGGCGATGACCAATATATCGGAATTCTCTGATCTAATCTGGCTAGCGATTGCGGTTGATGTTGAGCACGGCGTTACCACACGTGATCTGGTGCGGATGCCTGACCGAGCGCCTTCAGCTAGATGAGTCCACTAAAACATATAGTCAGCATCCAATGTCGAAAACTTAGTGCTATTTATTTTGAGGATTTATTTACCGCTACACTCTTTGTATGATTTCAATTTTAATATGTTTTAAATTGACCCTCAGTGCAAGATACGAGCATCTACTTGTCGTGTATTAAAAAGGCTAAATAAAACTTGCACATATGAAGCAAAACACACAAAAGTAAACCAAATGTGGTGACATCGTAAGCAGCTTCGTTAGCGTGAAGGATGATATAGATTCTTAAATTTGTAGTTTTATATCACCAATGGATGACCTTTGCTAGAAATCTTTTAAAAATCATGATACAATTAAAAAACAGCTTTCCGATGCTTTTTTTTTCTCTTGTTATTTGAGTACGGTCAGTCTGTGTTATAGGGGCAGATTTATTTACTTTAATACATAAATACATGATACAAAATTCTAATCTGTTAAACAAAAGTCATTAGTTAACATTTGTAATGCATAGAGAATTAGATATGCTCAACGAAACAGTAACAATGAAACGGGAATAAAGAACAGCATAAAATATCTTTCGGGTTTTAATTTCCAAATCTGCAGGTTATTTTGATCATAAGAACTAAACCATTCACACAAATAATTACTAAGTGAAGTTTATATGTAAATTTTGAACTTTTTTGCATAGATTCAAACCAGTTGATATGCGTGAAATCTACCGATTATGGGAAATTCAAATGAGAATTCTATTTAATTTCAATTAAACACGATACTAAACTATTTGAAGGGAAAACCTCACACACGATTATGCTTGATTATTTTACAGTCATAGCGCAGCCATGATCATAAAAATCGTTAAAAAAATATTTGTTGGGAGTTCTAAAAGACAACAAAATAGGTAATTTACTGCTGTTTTTAATGAATTTCAAGCAAATATCAGTTCCTAATGTACAACTCTGAGGTCCGCATATATTCTTAAGGGTTTAATATAGCTTTCTTCGTGAAATGACGCTAGCTGTAAACAACAATCCCAATACTTGAGGATTCCATACTGCGCAGCACTGATAAGTCACAAACTACTAAAGAAATAACCATTGAGTACTACTAGTTTACAGTAGTTTTCCAATGGAACCCAATTAACTTTTAGAACTACCTTTAAAATATATATACAGATAGTCTTTAGGCAGATTATAGAAGTATTATTTTATCTAAATCAACCTTTTATTAAATTTTTACAGGGATGTCAAAGTTCCTTTAATATCGCGACCAAATCAAATTCAGCTTTACAAACGGAAGCAATAAATGATTCCGATCAATATGATCCCCCTACTAAAACACCACTAACAACAAAACAATTTTCAGCCGCAGTCAGTCATATAACCTCAACACTATGTAAAACATCTGCTCCAATAGAAATATATTTCACGCCAAGTATAACTTACGCAGAAAAACTGTTACTTCGTTTGCATCGGAATTCTAAGCTTCAGCAATCAATAAGTCAAGACAGCGTATCTGAAGGGACTTTCTTGCCAAATTCAAGTATTGGTGAGTTTCAGGTTCTTATCAACTTTTCACTGGGAATACCGTGTAAAATATTGATCTAAAAGTGGCACAAATAATTGGAAAGTTAATGCGTTAAAAGATTCTTAACGCTGAGCAATTCGACAAGCTTGGACCTGGAAAATACACTTGCGAATCAGTTACTACCGTACAACTTGGCAGTTTCAAGTATCACTGGATGTAACAATTGGTGTCAAAGTTCTCATTTGAAAATTTATGCAAACTGTTAATAGAATGAAGTTTGTTTACTCAAAAAAATGTACACTCTAAAGTCATAGCTCATACTTCTATCGGAGAATCTGAAGAAAGACGGCTAGTCTACATTGTGAGCTTTAGGTATTTATATAAACAACATCAAATCTTATTTCCTACGTGCGATTCTTCCCGTTTGAGACCACAGAACGTTTTAATGAAGTTATATTGTGCACCTAACATTCAACTTTAATTTTTCTCTCAATTCTAGTTAACAGAAACCAAATACCGGAAAACTGATTCAGTATATTCAAATTAATGTTGAATAATGTTTTAAAATCACTGAGATCTTTACGAATGTTGACAGTTTTAACTACTTGGTCTTTAAAAATTTGTATTTTGGATCACAATTACATTCTCTTGGAACATGTTTCGCCGCAAAATATAGTAGGATATTAAGAAAATAAAGTTCAGAAATCGGAGTACATATGGTTTTATTTTTTAAGAAGGATATCTATTATTGGGGTATAAATACGCCTAGGAAACAGACATTACGGAATCTTTCATGTTCTCATCTATAAAAGAGAATAAAGAGTCAGCTTAGCTGTTTGTGAATAAGTCAAAAAATTAATCTCAGGAGCTAAATATCATTCCTTAATTCATAAACATGGTCTAACATTGAGGGCTAAAACATAATTTTTGTGTAGTTATTCTGTACAATAATTATTCTTTACGAAAATATTGACGTCTGTATGTGTTCTCTTACTTTTTGTTTGCTTCATCGCCTTTCACATTTGTGTCATCAATTTACAATGGAATTGAAAAAAAAGAACAAGAGAAAAAACAGGAAGAAGCTATGGAGAATTTCACATTAAATAGGAATTCATTTGATGAATTACATAAATTGGCTACAACACAAATGCAATTGAGCAATAATAATCCACATGTTTTCTCGCATTTTAAATTAGACTCAGAAGAGCCTATCAATCAAATTGATAAAGTAAATTTAATATTTAATTTTCTTAATTTCATATTTTAAATCTTCATTTAATTACCTACTTTTTAATTTTATTTATTTATAATAGATAATGTATCCAATTATTCATGAATCGGATGAAAATTACTCAAGTATACCCTTTTTTGATGAATCATTGTGTAATTTGATTAAACAAAAAGAAAATACCGACCAAATTCACAACGGACAATGTTCACAGTGGGTATTACAATTCTTTTGAGTATTTATTATAGAAATGCTGATTTTATTTAAGTGATAACCTCAGTAATCATTTTAAACTAATTAAATTATCTCATTTCGTTACTATGTAGTATATTAGCTTTTAGAAAATGTAGATTACTGACGAATTACTTAGATTTGAATCCTGTCTTTCACTTAAATTCATGTAAAAAGTGTTGTTTTACTTGGGACTCGATAGCTGAATATAACTGCATCCTACTGTTGATATTTAGGCTGATACCAGAACCAAGTATTTATCATCTTAAGCTTCAATGCATTATTCACTGATCTTCTGTGTGTGGACTTCAGAATAGTAGATCGATCGGTCTCTCCAAAGTCAGTCAGTCAGTCAGACTGACCTAGGACAACTCATATGGACTTGACATAGTACTGGAGGCTACAATTTTAATTAACGTTGAAAAACATAACTTTGTGTTAGACATAAAATGAATTAATTATTTAGAAATATATACTAATTAAAAGGGCATATTGTGGTGTATTGTCTAAATATACAATGATGTAAAATGACATATATATTTCTGGTTATGAAAACAAGTTTCATTTAGCATAAAGATCTTACATAATCTATAATTTTATTCATATACAATGGTTCAGCTTGAACTTATTCATATGATTTAAAAATAGAACAAACCGTACAAATAATTATTCAAAATATCTCATAAATTAAGTTAGGCCATTTCATTTTTTAGGCTAACCATGCTTTACTTTTATTTCTAATAATAACTGTATTTAATAGCAAAGTACATATCCTTTAATACTTTTTTTCAAGCTGAATTGAATAGAAATGAATAAAAACAATGGAGACAAAACACAACAATAAGTAGTTTCGTAGAATGATTTGATTTAGTTTATTCATTAGCACCTTTTACATAATCTGACTACTTACGTTAGTAGTCAGTTACTTTGAGCACTGTTCTTCTTATATCAGCTTAATGATCCATAGTAGTCATTAATGATGGTCAATCAATTATCAGTAACTTGGGTCCTGATAATCATCCACGTTAACCACCGATAAAAAAAACTAACTTTGTGATGAAACAGATCAGATATTTCTATCGGGTCTTTTTACGAATAAATGCATGTAAAATTTGTTATAGATATAAAGTAATACAGAAGATAACTTGTTCTATTGGAGTCATTCTTAAAATACATTTAATTTCCTAGATGATTAGATTTTTCCCAAAGCTTTTTAGTTGTAACTTATCACCATTCTCTTCTAGGTAATAAATAGTACAATTTTATCAAAATAATGAATGTCAGCATCAGTAAAGTAAAACTTTTAAAAATTTTAATAATCTTTTCACTTGAATTTGTTTATTTATTCATTCAACTTTTCTTAGGATTAATGATGAAGATGGTCTTATCAAAGAAATTCATGAGAATAATGAAATTATAGGTATGTAAAGTGTCAATAAAATTTAATATCTGTTTATGTAGTAACTGTTGTGACTTTGAGCCCGGCACTGCTGAGGGGTCTCGCAATAGAACGAAACGGCCGTCCAGTGCCTCGAGGTTTTCTATGGTGGTCTAGCTTCAGTTGACTCATGATCTCAACTATTGAAATTACTACAATCTGTACAAAACCCCTTTTGATAATTTATTTATGAAATTTATGAAATCGAAATGCAAGTTTAATTCTAAGCTCTATCAACTCTTACTTTCACTTTTAAAAAAATCATTTTTTGACCAGTCAACAGCATAATTTGTAAACTACACTTCAAGTATCGTCTTATTTATATCGATAGAAATTTATTATTCATGAAAATGTAATTCGCCTCAATCAGTTTTTTTTGTTGTTCACTTTTATCTGCATTTTGTTTTTATATTAATATGATTGTTAATTAATTCTTTTCTTTCAACAAAGGTTCATTAAATAATAAACAAAATATATGGCGCCCAGTGCAGTCATTAATTAATCCCGATTCTAATATAATACATCAAATCAGTAAAACAATTCTACGAAACTTGAATTTGGTTTTAGATGAACAATCGCTGAACAATATCGACCTACAAGACAGCTTTTTGGACGATTCAAGAATAAAGTAAATAATTCGCAAACATCAGCATAATTCAAAGTCAGCGGTATATTGTAAACAAAATAGACAACTTTTATTTTCTTCTTATGTAAAAGAAAGCAGTTTATTCGGGTTTCATCAATAAACTGTTTTTTATTTATTTTACTTGATTTCTTATTTTTGACTTATTCATTTGATAAAAAAATAAACGAATTAGTAAATTAAACGAACCACTATTTTGTCCAAGAAATTTCCAAACCTGGTCGACAGATACTTTATCATATGAAACATGTAGTTCTTCACTCTTATCTCCCCTTTAATTACACCCCAACTGTGGCCGCATAATAGTCTTACCCCGAATGTTTACATGAAATATCCTTATGCATTCTCAAAAGTCAATCGCACTAGTTAATATGTCGTTCCTCAGCTTCGAGCATCTTATGAAAACCGTGAGTATGAACAAAATTCCCTAGTTCAGAAAATCAGCAATCGGCGGAAGGGTAATGGAGAAGCATAAAATACCACATAGAACTTGATACTCCCTTCAACATAGATAATTGATGACTATCATTTCGATGCACCATTTTACAGTCTTTTAGGTACTCACTGAAACTGAATTTCATGGAAAAAAATATCACCATAAACTAAGGTCAACCTTTCATAAATTCCCCAAGAGCTTTTCTGAAGTTCCAACGAAACTTCAGCAGCCCAATTTGAAATTGTTTGAACTATCCCGCTGTTAATATTTTGACTGAGATTTTATAAGACTTAGTTGGCATACGTGCACCCTAATTACACTGCCACAATATACCTATTTCTCATAAGGTTTTATAGAATAGACGGACTGTGCTTAACAATAGAATCCAGAACGAGCATTTTTTTTCTATTTCAGATTCAGTAGCTAAGTGGATAACGTGATGTCGTTTTAGAAAAAGGTGCTGGTTTCGAATCTCAAAATGATCGTTGACTCTGAGATTCAGATACATCCAGCTTATTAGTCTTAACTAAGATTAAATGAGTGTCTGAATCTCCACTGCTAGTCGCAGCCCATGTGTTCAATGCAAACTTTGGAGCTTAGTCCTTTTAGTTATTAAATAATCATGTATATTATGGTAAATGGTTATTTTTAATAAAGTATAGAATTAGTTTGTTTGTATCTTCAGCACTACTGAGTATCTTCTGAGAAAAGTTTAAGATCCGTAAAGAAAACCTTCAAACTTAACATCCTAATTATTTATTCGGTAGCCATTTCAGAGGCTTATAATTCTTAAAACACATTAAAATCGAAAAGCGTACAGTTCTTTCGATTTTTGAATCTACAAATGCCATTTCTTAAAGTTAGGAAGTGGTTTATATCATACATCTAAATAAACCACTAACTCTATGATAGGTATTACGATATCATATTATTAACATAAGTCAGGAAATAAATATTTGAAAAAGTCTACAAATACCATAATCAAATCTATTCCCTATTAAATCAAGGTACCTATCTTCAAATGAAATGTAGTATATGGAAAGACATATGAAAGGTGTGAAACTTACTGACTTACACCTGTCAACCAAGCAGAAAAGCATAGGCCACAAACCAGCATTCTCCAAAAGTAAAATAAAATTGCGTTGAATTATATGTAACACTTTCTACACTTTCATGTAATGACGATGGAAACCAGAAATTGAATGAAATAGAGTAAAGTGGAAGATGACAAAACCGTTGAACTTAAGGCATATTATGCATTTTTCAAAACTGTCAAGAACAATGATAATGCAGGGATACAGAACAAAAAAGTCACAACAGAGTAAACAAAAAAGAAATGAACAGAAGAATAAACAGCCAAACCATTGTATAAAAACAACATAAAAATTAAAACGAAAAGAAAGAACATAAAAGATAATTCAGTGGCGGTTAAGTCTCGACACCAGGATATGTTCTCGCTCAACAAAAAGACCGTATTTAGACATAAGACCAACGGCCAGACAACCTGGATTAAATGTGAGGATAGAATGCGAGTGACGAGAGTTAGTGCTTAATTCCGTGGTGCGATCTCAAAGTTTATTATTGTATCTCGGACTACGCTAGGGTCACGTACTCAATGAGTCTGCACCGAGAGGCAAAACTAATGTAGTTGTTGTGATTAGCAATTTTGGAGTACGCACGGTGAGGTTGTGACATAATAGCATTGCAGTGAACCATGGCAGGAGTGTGTGAAACTTAAAGGTGTACGGGGCTACTTTGGTGCTCGGTGGTAGTTGCAGTGTGAGGTTACTGGTGGGTCGGGAGTTGGATTAGACTCAGTCGGATCCATATTTGATTATTGCAGTGTCAATCGGTGTGATGACTTCTCGTGCTTGTTACAAGGGAATTACCAACCAGATCGGTCGGTGAAGTCTTTCTCAACATCTAATGCTTTAGAATTGACGAATAAAGTGGACACCTTTTGCAACACGTCCCCGTTTCGTATTTTATCGGGACAGGAATTTTCATTGTGCTCAAAACAATGTGGTCTTTTTATCTCAGCTATTGTTTTGTTGGTACTTTGTAATCTTCTTCAATAAGGATTTATTTTCGTGACACATAACGGCAGACATTGATCGTGTGTGGTTAAATCTAGGAATAACTCATTCAAGCACTGGTACTGCCGAAAAACTTTGTGGTTGTATTTAATGAAAGAGAATTTGTGCGAAATCTATGCCTTAAGATCTTGAAGTTAGTACTCGGGTATTTTAAGGATAGAGACAATATTGAATAACGCGCACAAAACTCGTGTTTTAAATATTCGTATCCGACCGCATTGGCTGCTTGTGGATCGAATCAGGTGGAAGTCCTCGAAATAAAACGTCCGAGGTAAGTTTGATGGTGGACGAATTAAGTCCTGATATAATTGTCGTCACAGAAACTTGGCTCACTGTAAATATAGACTGTTCTCCATCATTGCAGGTTACATCTGTATTAGAAATAATAGATTTTTAAGTTGCAGTGGAAGAGGCATAATATTTTACGTTAGAGGAGCATGTTAGTGGTACATGTGAGGTAGCATGTCGCACAATTAAGTCCAGATACGGGTTAGTGACTATAGGAGGAATATACCGTAGTCCTTGTTGTCTGGCTGATGACTTTATCTTTAGACACATCTGTTCTTGGAGTAAGGCAGAATGTTGTCTCATTATTGGAGACTTCAATGCACTGCATATCAACGGGATAGAGCTTACAGCTCCGGGTGAAGGTTTCGATCGCTAGCTTCTATCAACCATTATTCAGTGTGCACTTGCACAATGTATCGCAAAACCGACACGCATTGACTTGGAACATGACCCGTCATTGCTGGACCTTGTCCTCACACACCATTGTGAGGAAGTCATCGACATTCAGCATCCTCCCTACTGGTGCATAGTGGTCACGTTGTACTGTACTTCAAGTTTTGAGCACGTGGTATACAATTTGTATCTGCTCCACCCTGTTCTAATATCTGTCGAGCCAATATTCCGGCAATCAGGGACTGTGCTATGTCGACTGACTGGTGGGTCGACGTGGATGGATCGATCGAAGACGAATGGGATAGGTTTAAGGACATAATTGAGTCCGTAACATCACCGTTTATCCCATGGTTATCACGTAAGCTATTACATTCCACACGATGGATTAATATATTAATCCATCCGTAAGCTGTTGAAGCGAAGGAAACACTTCTGGGACTTATTCTTGTCAACAGGATACGCACCACTTAAGTGCGAATATCGGAAAATCCGGAATATATGTACTACTTAGGAAAGACAGTTAGCATATCGTAGCCGTACTTGTTCGAAACGATTGTTTTCGTATGTTTAACGGCGAACAAATTGTAGTGATGGTATTCCTCCATTAGTGTTACACGAAAATTCAGATTTACTAGTTTGATCAGGTCAGGCAAAAGCTGAGACTTCCTCCAACTACTTTAGCGAAGTCTACACTACGTGTATTTCTTCAAATATTAGTCACAATCACACCAAGATACCAGCAATTGGATCTGAACGTATAATTGAGGAAACTGTTCTTCCATTTATAATTAACCTCAAACCTTGTAAGATACCGAGCCCTGACAGGTTACATTTATGACTGCTGTCATCTCTTGCGGACATTATTTCAATCCGCTCGCGACGCTCTTCAACATGTCCCTTTCACTCGCCGAACTCCCTAGAGATTGGAAAGACGCTGTAGTCGGTCCTATATTTAAGGATGGTCAGAGGCGAATCGTATCTAACTAACGGCCTGTCAGTCTAACTAGCATAGTCGTTAATTTACTTGAAAAGATTATTCGAGTTAAGTTTTTGGTCACATAGTTTCACACAGTCTCTTAACTCCCGAGCAACATGGGTTTCGTAACAAGCGTTCATTCTTGGCTTACTTACTCATTGCGAGAGAGGATCGGACAGCAGCCCTAGATAACGGTCTGTTTGTCAATGTGATGATCATAGATTATAGCAAAGCATTTGAAAAGGTTTCACACTTATAACTTATGCAGCTCTCTAGCTTCGGAGTGGATAGGAAACTTCTTATGTGGATGCAGACAGAGTGAGGGTCAGTAGAACGCTGTCCGAATGGAAGCCGGTCAAAAGTGGTGTACCGCAAAGCACCATCTTAGTCCCCTTACTTTTCCTTCTCCACATTAATGAATTACTGCTGCTGCTTAAATCGTCGACATTATTGTTTGCGGATGATGTAAAACTCTGGAGAACAATAAGAAATGAGGCTGACCATTTGGATCTCCAAGCTGTCTTAGATGAATTAGTTGGATGAGCTGAGGTTGGGGCTTAGAAGTTAATTCTAAGAAAAGAGTGTTCATGCACATCGGACATGGTAATATTTACCATTATGCAACTGATGGTAAACCACTTTCACGCGTTCAAGAACATAAAGACTTAGGTGTAATAATAAGTCGTGACTTGAGAACAACTATGCATTGCAACGCAACATCTGTCGAACGTTTTCGTGCGTTATGGTCACTTCGCTGAGCATTTAAATGCTTTGACGAGGAAGTATTTCGAATTTTATATCCCGCCTATGTAAGACCACACTTAGAGTACTGTATTCAAGCAGTTAGCTCATGTCTGCTAAAGGATACTAACTCACTTGAGAGTGTTAAGTGCATGGAAACAAAACTAGTGAAGAGTCTTTCTAAACTCCCTTACGATGATCGTTTAATACGTCCAAACCTTTTCCCCTTGTCAAATCGTTGGACGCGAGG